GTAAGAGAATCCCAAATATTTCTAGACATTTTTTNGTTCAGAATTTTTTTTACTCAATACCAAACAAAATCAAACCAAACCTAANCGGGTTTTTAGTCGGTTTAATTTGACTTTTCGGTTTAGTGCGGTTTTGCGGTTCGATTTGTACAGCCCTAACAGGCATCCAAAAGCGGCATTATCTCAATACATTTGGCAAACAAGAATAACTGGATAACCACTTCCATAATTTGGAAATACATTATTTGATGAAAAATTGAACAGTAAGCACAAGATGCAAAATGTTGATACAACTGTGTAAAGAGAGCTAGTAAACTGAAATGTCTGGTCTATCTAGATGAGAAAAAAGAACACCAACAGAAACAGAATCATACAAATGCATCATTCAGTATGGTACCATACATGTAGTTACTGAATGTCATCCACCTAAAACTTTTTTATTATAGCAATAGTGTTCAGGCCAACTTGTGCACAAATCGAGTGCACAAATCGACTATTCTGCCAGACACCACAATCTGCCAATTCCTACCAGCAAAGGTACTGGATAACTATTATTGGCCAAATCTTAGGCTGATGCGAATAAATTATCATATAGTAGCATTTTTTTCTTCTGGTACTGTTTGAACCCCGGTCCACAAGGATAGGCAAATAAAAGATAGGAGTAACAAATATCAACTTGATTCAATCTATATAACACAATTCAGTACTACCCTTTTCTCCAGAAGCAAATAACTCTGAAACGATTTTGTCAATTCTGCGAGAAAATTTATCGTAAAATACACAATTGAGTTCAGATAAAAATCTCACATTTCTACTCTACAGTAGTTGGCTCAAAATCTTGATCCCTATTAGGTTGTTACCTTGATTTTTAAAATATTTATATTAGATTATATACTGAAGCTACAACAACAACAACCACCACCCAGTATAATCCCACCAGTGGGATTTGGGGAGGGTAGGATGTACGCAGCCTTACCCCTATCCTGGAAGGACAGAGAGACTGAGATTATTTACTGAAGCTCTGTTAACAAAATCATAAACCATTATTCATAAGATAATTCAGTTGCAGCCAGATTAAAATATATAATGCTGCTGGACAGATAACAGTATGCTTGTGTATCCATGTTTCATAGCAACACCATAGTGAGGCATGAACGACTAAGGATCAACACAGAGTAGACCCTTTCAATTTCTTTTTAGTATATACTAAAGCCACACCATCCAACATAGACGTATTCAGGAAGGGGAAGCATTTTCTAACAGATAACAATCTGTACATTTCAACTGATCTACATGGTTCTTCTTTGCTAATGTATAGGTCACTAAATGTCAGGAGATCAACAAAGACGCCAACTTGAAGGTTGTTGACCTTGTATCCAATTATGGACTTACATTTGAACATACAATTACCTCCTTAAATCAAATAAGTGTTACCATTGTAAACTTGAAGAATAGAACCTTTACACAAAAATATTCACCCACCAGTGCTTTCAATCCCTTGAAACAAGCTGTGCAGATTCTTCATCCACTTGTCCCTTTTCCAGTAGTATGGATCACTAATATCCTTCAGATTTGTCAGCCTCGTCATCTTTGAATTCAAATAGGACATTGTTAATTTGCAATTTCAAGTTTGTTTAGATAGGTATAAGGGAGAATTTCAGGTGATAAGTGGATTCTAACTGCTAAAGGGGAGACCACAAAGCTGGGAAAAGAGCATTAGTTAGCTTGAAGCCAACAGCAATAGCAGCATTTTAGCCAGAACAAATGCCATGTTTTCTCATTAATTCTATGCTCTCGGCAATTGTTGACCCAGCAGTGCCAACAAAACCAAGAGAAGCGCAGCTGCAGACTGTTTCCTCTATGTATAAGAGAACATCAGTTAAAGATCGAGTATGGTGACGCTTGTTAATCACTGCTGAACTCGGTAAAATGGAACCAAGTTTTAGTCCATGGCCCGCAGCCATGACTTTTTTAGCAGTTTCTTGAACCAAGTCATCATCTTCTCTAATAACAAACAGCTTAAAGGCATCTGAATCTTTTGCTATGCTCCCTAAGTAACTCCCCGTCCAATTAGCCATGGGAAGATCAGTCATCACAAATACATGGATCGGTTTCTGTCCTGGTTGCTTCAAAGATTTTAACTTCTGCTTCAGACCAAGAAAAGTAGCTTCGTGGTGGTTCTTGAATTGTCCATCTAGTAGCCTGAGCTGTGCACAAAGAAAGGGTCCCTTGATAGTTTGAAGAGCAAACTTCTTGCCAGCATTTATTATTTCAGGAACAAAGGGAAGGAACTCAATCTTTTCGATTAAGGTCTGTATCATGGGATCATTAGGAGCTTCATGAATGTCGATATGGGATTCAGATCCCTTATAAGGAGCAGAAAAAAGGCTTCCAAATGCCAGAATGGTGGCTGATTCTGCTGCAGAACCAGGACCAAGAGCCTTATATAAATCCTTTCTTCTCCTAATAAATGAAACCTTCTTTTTCTTCTTAAGTTGTTCATCCGGTTGAAAGGAGTCTAATGCCCCGTCCTCAACATCGTTTTGAAATGTCCAAACTGTCGTTCTACAGTCATCTTCTAAAGCAGTCAAACAATCACTTATACTACCATAATAACCGGACAATAGAGAACCGCATTCTCTAAGTCTCTCAGATAAAGGAGATGGAATAGTTTGGTCTTTAGAGCAAATATCATCCAAGTTTACACCACACCACAAGGACACAAAAACTCGAAAATCAACAAATCTCACTGTTGAATAAGACACAAGTGGTGAAATGTCAACTATATCAGCCATGGATACATATCTGCAACACACAAAATAAGCAATTTATTAGAAACTCCCTAATATTCCATCCAAGAAAGCATGTCTATTTTTTCTCAGTCAAAAATCAAAATGCACAATGAAATTCAATATTTAATATTTTATAACTTATAAAGTCCAAGTTAAATCTGCAGCAGAAAGATAACAACAAACACGATAGTACGTTTGCAACGCATACAAAGTTCACAGAATAGCTTTGTCACAGTGTCTAAGCACATAGCTTAGATGCTATCATAAAGCGCATTCAGTCAGTCAATCAACTAGGTCTCACTCTATTCCATGCATTCCATTAATAATTTGTCATTTGAGTATGGGTTCTCTAGAATTAGTGTAACAGCCCAGCCCACTAGTGATATTGTCCGCTTTGGTCTAAGCCTGCACAACTTTAAAACGCGTTACTAGGGTCTAAGGCCTGTTTAATTAATTCGACTAGAGTTTCACATACACTCCCTCTTAGGGACTCAGTGTCCTTGCTGAGGTTGCCCCACCACCGTTCAAGGTTGCACACAGAGTGAGCCTGATACCATGTGTAACATGACAACCAACTAGTGATATTTGTCCGCTTTGGGCCCAAAGCGAACAATATTAGTTGGACCGTTTATAATTAGAGATTTTCTATATCCACATATATTCCTACACTGGCATATAACTAAAAAGCTCCTGAACTATAGCTTCACATATTCTCCCTGTCCCATGTTATGTCCCACATTTCTATACTTACAAACAATTTAACTTTAAATTTCTCATTTTACCCTTAATAGATGGTTTATAGCAACAGAAAACTTTCTTTAAATCAATATATCTACATAATTCAGTCAGATAAGTTAACAAACATAAAAAATGCAATTTTCTGAGCTAAAGGGAACAGAGACAAATTTCTAGATTACCTGCAATCGCGCAATAGATGAACACTATGATTCCAAACAGCGTATCTCAACTCAATAGGGTTCAAAACCCTAAATTTAGGACAACTACCAAGCGCAACAGCATGATGATCCAATACGGGAGGAACAATTAGGGTTCGATTAAGGATCTTAGCCATCAAAATAGCGTTCTTGAACTCAGCCAACTGATTACTGAAACCACTATGAGGTGCGTACCACAGGAACTTTCCCTGCAGACGATTTGTGGGGTTGCATTGTGAGGGACGGGGTATAATTGGTATTTTTGATTTTTGGGGAAGGGGAAGAAGAAAAGGGCAAATGAAGTTTTTGAAGTAGTAGAAGAGGAAAATTAGAGTGAAGAGAAAAAGGAAGATTAAAAGTGGAGATCTTTGTTTCTTCCTTGATTTGTTGGGTCTAATGAAAGTTTCAGTTTCCATTGGATTCAAATTTCTCTCTGAATTCTTGGATCAGAGATGGTGGACAGGGTAGTTTAGTTTATGAACAGTGACGCTTTTTGTTCTGCACTCCCAACTTTTCTAGTACCACATTGCCGGACTTGAGAGAATTACTGTTTGTCATTTGGTTGTTTTATATGGGTATTAGCTAATTCTCATATTATTATCACATAATAAAGATAATATATTAAATTATATTTTCTGTCTTAATTTATTTGATGCATTTTTATAACTTTGTTTAAAAAAATACTCCATCCGTTTCAATTTATGTAAACCTATTTTCTTTTAGTCCGTGCAAAAAAGAATGACCTCTTTCCCTATTTGGAAACAATTTACCTTTATGCAATGATTTATAGCCACACAAAATATATGTGCTTCATTTTACACCACAAGTTCAAAAGTATTCTCTCTTTTCTTAAACTCCGTCCCCAATCAAATTGATTCAAATAAATTGAAACGGAGGGAGTAATATTTTTTATATTTAAATTTTTTTATTTATGCTTTACTTTTACGCATAAGGATCTGTCTTTTAACCTAAGAAGTTCTAAAAATGTCATTTTCTTAATTTTAAAATTGTTAAGGAGCATGATGTACAAATAGCTCTGCACAAATATCAAAATTATAAGTTTAATTTTTTATTTTTTAAATTTTGTACCTGATTAAATTGTATCATATAAAATAAAATAAAAAATTATAAAATAATATTACTGTATGTATAAATCACTTATTTTTTGACCAAAAATAAATTAAATAATTTCACATTTTATCTTGAGATTATTTTCTTGATCTCGGAAATCAAAACCCCTAGGTTAGGGTGACTGTGTGAGTTTAATAACATATGATTATTGTATTTTGCTTATGTTGATTTCTCTGTGAAACAAACAAAAAAGTTTTGCCTACTTAGTTTGACCAACAAAGCTGGTGGTAAAAACCTCCTACACTGAGGAGCGCTGAGTTATCAACTTCATTTCCTCTGTGTCATCGCAAAATCACTGCTTTAGTAGTTGATCATCTCCAAAAAATGGCGACGTTTCATCTCCGATCACCGCCGTCAACTCTTCTGTATCATATTCCTCCACCCTGTAATCTTGCCTGCAAGTCTCCCTTTACTAGGTAAGTACCTTAATCTCGTACAAAGAATCACCTTTCTTTTAGCTTTCTCTTTGTGTATATTAGTAAACTGAACATATATAAATATCTTATTTGATCAAATTCAGGTTGAAAATGTCAACTCCGTCAACCCCAGAAAATCGCACTGTTGTGGGTCTTCCTCTTTTGACATGTCAAAAAATATTTATGCTGAAGCTGTTATATAATTTAATGTATTTTATTGAATTTGTTCTGCGTTTTTTGAGCAGCTAGGTTGTGGAATGGCGGCGGTGGATTTCCTAGTTGCTGTTGATTCTTATCCTAAGCCTGACGACAAGATTCGAAGCACCAGTTTTGAGGTTTTATTAATATTTGTGTGTGAATGTAGTGTGCTGTTTTTTTTTTTAATTGTTGAGTTGAAATTTCAAAGGAAAGTTTTGTTTTTTATTAGGTTCAAGGGGGTGGCAATGCAGGGAATGCATTAACTTGTGCGGCTCGTCTAGGCCTATCTCCAAGAATTATTTCAAAGGTCTGAGATTTTGTGGCTTATACATATACTATTTGATCGTTAACCGACTCACATTCTTGATTTTTTGTTCCTGCTATTCAAGTATAGATTTAGGTGTGTGAGTTTCTAATTTTTTTAGCAATTTACTTTATGTGATAAGAGCTTCAAAGGAGAACTCCTCTCTCTCTTATAGCTCCTAAGAATCATCTTTTTGTTGCATACAGATAAGCGTCAAACTGTGAGATATGAGATAAAGAATTCCAATATTGTGTTATACCACTGTTAAAGAACATAACTCCTGTCTTAGCTTGGTTGTGATGAGCTACTTGCTTGCTATTGGTATAACAAGCACCAATTTACCTCCTGCCACTATCATTTCCTAGAGAGTGGTTTGTAACACAGTTTAACCTCCATGTTCCTTTAATCTGGACTTGATTGGAGAAAATCCACCTTTTAACCCAGCCAAATATGTAAGAGCCCGTTTGGCTTAGCTGATTTAGAGTAGCTGATAAGCATTAGGTGCTGAAAAGCACTTTTAAGTGCTAAAGCTGATTTAAAAAATAAGCAGTCACGTGTTTGGATAAAAGTGCTGAAATTAATAATAAGCAGCTGAAGAACTGGGTATACGAAGAGTTTTGTTCTAAAAAGAAGTATTTTAGGGATAAAATAGTAAATATTTTGGTCAAACCTAAAGTGCTTATAAGCTGAAATTTGATAAGATGGAGGAGACCAACTTATGGCTTTTGGCTTATTTGCTTATAAGCACTTTTAATTTTACCAAACGCGTAGATAAGCCAAAAAGTGTTTATAAGCCAGTTTGACCAGCTTATAAGCTTAGCCAAACACCCTCTAAGTCTGCAAGAATAAATTTGCCCTACAATATGGGTGGTCAATATTCAACTATAAGTACTACTTCCTTTGAGACTTGCATAGCATGGAATAAATATGTATCTAATAAAACATAACCCAGCTGATTGTGCTATTTACTGTCACGACCCAATTCTATAATAAGCCGTGATGGCGCCTAACGCCGCCGCTAGGCAAGCCAACTGTGAACTAGTCACGTGATTTCTTCTTTTTAAATGACTTTTTCCAAGTAATTAAACTTCCCTTAAATTGAGTGCAACCATAATCATAGAATAAAACCCAAACCACAAGTCTACTACTGTGTGCCAAAACCTGGTGTCACAAGTGTATGAGCATTCTAGTAGAATATACAAAAACAAAATACTAGCCTACTGTTTGACATGAAATAGACAGAAAAAGTATAAGCAAAAGAAAGACTCCGGCTGCTGCCGAACGGGCTCAAAAGGGTAGCTCACCGCGAAGTCTCAGTAATCAGGGATGCGCGCCGGACTGATATCTAGATGCACCTGCCTCAGATCCTACATATTCAGTGCAGAAGTGTAGCGTGAGTACATAAACAACATGTACCCAATAAGGATCTAGTCTAACCTCGAAGAAGTAGTGACGAGGGGTCACTTCGACACTTACTATGGGCCAAAATATAAAATAATATGAAATTCTAATTAAACATGATGTATATATATAAGTGACAATGGGACTCGAAGCAAGAAATAAATAAGCAGTCCTTTCACCATTAATAAGAACCAAATCATTTTCCTCATTACATCTAACCTCTCAAGCCAATGAAACATTTTCAAATATAATAGGGTTTTCGGTATTATCACGTACGAATTATGCCGAGGACGTACGGCCCGATCCAGATATACATAAACATAAACCGTGTGCCTGCCGAGGGTCGTACGGCATGAACCATAGATGCATCTATTAACCTGCCGAGGCGAATGACCGCTTCCATGAGAGTAGTAGAAATTTACCTCGCTCGCGGAATATACTTGCGACGCGGTTGGACATAGTTTTCTCAAGTTAACATAATATCCCTCAATTCTTTCCAAACAAGAAATCAACTAGAAACTTTTAACATCTTGACATCCTCAATCTCCACTCTGTACAAGGCAATTAATAAGCATAATCAAATAACGATGTCAACAAAGCATGGTGTGAATCTAAAACTACCCGGACATAAGCATGAATAGTAGCTACCTACGGACTCTCGTCACATCGTGCATACGTAGCCCCCCACAGATGGAAACACATATTAACTAAATTCAACTATGGGGTTAATTCCGTCTTACAAGGTTAGAAAAGAGACTTACCTTGTCTCAAAGCCTACTTTCCGCTCCAAGATTGTGCGCGAACCCTCAATTTGGTGCCAAATAACTCGAAACTAGTCAAATGTTATATAAGATAATCCATTTATGCTCAAAAATTCATGTCCTAGCTATTAAAGTGATTACCAAACCCCAATTGAAGAATTCCCAAAATTCACCCCGGGCCCACATGCCCGGATTCCGGAAATTTTTGAAGAAAATTGTTACCCATAAACTCATGAAGTCAAATATATATTTTTCATCAAATTCCATAGCCGTTTTCGTGGTCAAATTCGATTTTTATCCAAAACCTAGGTTTTCATCTAAACCCTTGATTTCACCAATTTTTACATGTTAATCTACCCATAATCTATGTATTTAACTCGCGTTGTGTAGAAATTACTTAGCTCAAAGTGCTAGGTGAAAACCCCCTTCCAAGAGCTCCAAAAATCGCCCAAGAGATGAAAGAAAATGAGCTAAATGGCCTAAGTCTCGCATTATAGAGCTGTGCACAGGTCTATGATGTCAATGCGAAGGTCGCAAATGCGACAAATCCCTCGCAAATGCGAACCTGGGCTTCTGCTGCCAAGGTCGCAAATGCGACGAAAGAGTCGCAAATGCGGACACTGTTGAGGTCGCAAATGCGAACACTGCCTCAGGTCAGGCTTCTTCGCAATTGCGAAGCCTTTCTCGCAAATGCAAGGTTCGCAAATGCGAACATCATTTGCGAGACCTGCAGCACCAGCAATAAAACACCAGAAAAATGAAGTCTTTTCACAACCTTCCGAACATCCGAAACTCAGCCGAGCCCTCGAGGCTCCATACCAAACGCCTACACAAGTCTAACAACATCATACGAACTTGCTCGCGTAATCAAAACACTGAAATAACATCAAAAACCACGAATTGGTTGCCAAAACGCATGGATTAACTCATGAACTCAAAAACTTCCAAAGCCACTTCCGCGCGTTCGATTCCTATCAAATCAACTCGGAATGATGCCAAATTTTGCGTGCAAGTCTTAAATGACATCAAGGAACTATTCCCAGTCTCGGAATCCCATTTGGACCTCGATATCACCAAAACCTACTCCAAACCAAATTTAAAGAATTTCAAAAAACCTTCAAGGAACCAACTTTCATTATTAGGCGCCGAAACGCTCCTGGGTCATCCAAAGCCCGATCCGAGCATACGCCCAAGTCCGAATTCATCATACGAATCTATTGGAACTGTCAAATCCTGATTCCGAGGTCGTTTGCTCAAAACGTTGACCGAAGTCAAACTTAGCCTTTTTAGCCAACCTTAAGTAACCAAATATTCTGGTTTCAACCCGAACCCTTCCAAATCTCGAACTAACCATGCCCGCAAATCATAAAACAGTAAAAGCACATACGGGAAGTCTTATTTAGGGGAACGGGGTTCTAGAAGGCAAAACGACCGGTCGGGTCGTTACATTTACTGTATCATTCATGATTATTGCATAAAGAGTCACCAATAATTGTCTTCTATACAACTATTTTATTTGTTCACCTTTCTGCAAAGAAGCCTTTACCAATAATTCATTGGAAGTCTTCACATTTTTGTACCGCTTTCCGCCTGTAGATCGCGGATGACTCTCAAGGAAAAGGAATACTGGAAGAGCTAGAAGCTGATGGAGTTGATACATCATTTATGGTGGTGAGTTTGGCGAAGTTCAAACTTGAAGGTTCTTGCATGTTTCTCTTGAATAATTATAGACGGAGTTTCATGCATCTGTTGAAATAATCACCAATTTAACTGTCTCTGATATGTGGTAACATCAGATATAACTGAAGTATTTAATTCCTTGAACCTCTAATGTTGGGTTCAGGTTTCCAGAGGGGGCCATTCGACATTCTCTTACGTCATTGTTGATAGTCAAGAGTGAGTGCTCTCAATTTATGTTAACTGCCTTTTTTGTAAGTATTTATTGGCATGTATTTTGGTCTTTTTGAGCCTTTACCTCAATGCAACAATGTGGAACTTTTGCAGAATCAATTGTAATTACTTGTACTTTTGTAAAGCGGGTTTCAGTTGTGAACTATCTTTTTTGAGGACTAATATATCTTATGCGAAAAACAAGATATTTGTTTGTTGAATATTTGATATACGTGCTACTTGTAAGTTAGACTCAAAAAGCAACATAAATTATAATGTTAGATATGCTGGAAGTTATCCCTAGCCATCATAAATAAAAGAAAATAAATGAATAAAGTATGGAGAGGGATGTGTATGTTTGACTGAATAATTTTTCGTTTCTCCTTAAAAGTGCTTTTTCTTTTGCAAAAATTGGTCACTTGACTACATGTATGGCAGAGGTGGTCCGGAGTATTCAGTTAAAATTTCTCTCCACCATATTTGCAACGAGAGAAGTATAAATAGTTTAGAAAGTTTACTATATTTACTGTCTTTTGGTCTATACAAATGAATTGCTGACCCTTCTGCACTTGTTCTATTATAACTGTTAGCATTTCTCGTGATTAATATTTGTTTAATTTCCCAGGAAAACACGCACTTGTATTTACACTCCAGGATACCCCCCTATGATACCTGAGGATCTGTCCAAATCGAATCTGTCATCAGCTCTGGATGATGTGAAACTTGTCTATTTTGATGGAGTATTGCAAGAAACTGAATTGTTATCAGCTTTAGTTGTGGCCCAAGAGGTAATTTAACTTGGGCTTGTTTGTCACGCAAATGGAACTCATGGTTTGCAAAGATTGCTATCTTGCTGTCTGTTTCTGCTCATATTCCTTATATTCGCCCTAGATCCAACATATTGTATACTCAATTCTTTTTCTTGTTTTGTTCAAATTATCCATAGACTTATTTCAACCAAATGGAACTAACTGCATGCCTTTTGGATTCCCAGTGCAGGCACATCGGAGAAATATACCTATTGTAATTGATGCAGAAAGTAAAAGAGAAAGGGTAGATGACCTTTTGAACTTGGCAACTTATGTTGTATGCTCAGCGAGATTTCCACAGGCAAGTTAGCTACTCTGACAAACTGCAAACTCCTTTTGCTGCATGTTTTCAATCTGATTCTAATTCTTGGTTGCTAATAAGGTCTATGTGAATGAGAAAATATTTTCGATTTTAGATTGTTTCTTATTCTCCTGGGTATTTGTAGCAACTATGCTCCACTTGGAGTGAAATGTGTCATCTCCCCAATTTTAATTCGAAGACCGAGTCCCTTCCTCCCTCAGTGTTTAAACCTTTTCTTCCTTACAACTGTTTACCACATAATTGGGGAGTGAATTTGTTTTCAATACTATTTCTAAAACAAGGTGAAATAATATCATTCTTCTCTTCTTAGCTTTACTCTTGATACCTTTTTTTCCCGTTCCAACCTTTTGGAGGTTGAGCTTGACAAAATTGAAAAATGATCTATTGTCTCCCAGGTATGGACAGAGGCCTCTTCAGTCCCAGATGCTCTTGTTTCTGTACTTCTAAAGTTGCCAAACGTCAAATTTGTAATTGTGACATTGGGTGAAGATGGCTGCTTGATGCTACAAAGAGCTGAAGCTGGTATGCTTGCACACTTTTGGTTCTTCTGATGTATGTTAAGTGTCTGCTTGTAGGCAAAGAAGCTGTTTTGAAAGATGAAAAAGAGGTGTATTTATTTGCTTATTGCTATTGGGTTGATTTGCAGAGGATTTCCAGTCAGAAGAAGTTGATGTTGATGACTTGTTCAAGAAAATGAAGCAGAGAATTGATAGAGATTCACTCAGTCCAACTTGCGTATCCTCGGTAATTCACCAATAAGAAGATTTATCATTCAATAAACAGTTGAAGCATGGCCGCAGTGCTCACTGCTTAGACACACACATAGAAGTCCGTGTATACATTTAGAGCACGGGTAGGTTCTAGGTATCGTGCATAGCACGGGTAGGTTCCAAGTATCGTGTAGAGCACGGGTAGGATCCAATTGGCGATGTAGAGCAGGTGTAGGTTCTAGGTGGTCGTGTTGAGCACGGAAAGGTTTCAAGTGATCGTGCAGAACGCGAGTAGGTTCCAAGTGACCGTGCAGAGCACGAGTAGGTTCCAAGTGGGCGTGCAGAGCACGAGTAGGTTCCAAGTGGCCATGCAGAGCATGAGTAGTTTCTAAGTGGCCGGGCAGAGCACGGGTAGGTTCCAAGTGTCATGTAGTGCACGGGTAGGTTTCAAGTGGCTGTGCAGAGCAGAAGTAGGTTCCAAGTATCTTGCTGAGTACGAGTAGGTTCCAAGTGGCCGTGCAGAGCATGGGTTAGGTCCTAAGTGTCCGTGCAGAGCACGAGTAGGTTCCAAATGGCCGTGCAGAATGCGGGTAGGTCCCAAGCGGCCATACAAAGCACAGGTAGGTTCCAAGTGTCGTGCTGAGCACAAGTAGGTTTCAAGTGGCCGTGTAGAGCACGGGGTAGGTCCCAAGTGTCCGTGCTGAGCACGAGTAGGTTCCAAGTGGCCGTGCAGAGCGCGGGTAGGTCCCAAGCGGCCGTGCAGAGCACGGGTAGGTTCCAAGTGACTGTACAATGCACGGGTAGGTTCCAGGTGTCGTGCTGAGCACGGGTAGGTTCCACCTTTTTCTTGTACTTCATGGCATAGAGCTTTACAAATATGAATTGCCTCCACATGTTCTCTTTGCAGTCATACCATTACTCATCACTTTCTTAAATTTATCTTTTTATACGAGACTCTTGGTGCTGCTTATGAAGTTTTTTTTTCCAGTACTTCTTTTGAAGCTGAATAAGTATATTTCTAGATTCATTAAGTTATGATATCTGACATAAAGTACGTGTCTTCTTCTAGGATATCGCAAAATTACATGCAAAAGGCATCGGGACAGTGAGTGGGAAGCTGCTTTTAGGAACAGCTGAAAAGATACCGCCATCAGAACTAGTAGATACAACTGGTGCAGGCGATGCATTTATTGGAGCAGTTCTGTATGGTAAGAAAATTTATACTAATGTGTTATATTCCTGCGATCTCCTTTTTCCCCCACTTGTGACAATTGAAATCCAGAGCTTCTATCAACCTCAACCAGTTTCATACCTCCTTTCCGGATGCAAGTTAAAATCTAATAACATCATAGGCGGAGCCAGGATTTCAACCTTATGGATTCTGAATTTTAGAACAATAATTTCAAGTGCTAATGACTGGGTTCTAAATTTAGTATTTGTACATTTTTAATGATTTTTTTAACACTATTTAAACAAAAGCTACTGGGTTCGGTCGAACCCGTAGCTCGACTTCTGCCTCTGCCCATGAATAACATTGTTCCCTTCACGTTTGATCAGAGTTTTGTAATGGTTTCGTTTTTCATGGATTTCCCACTTGTTAATCTGCAGCTCTCTGTGCCAATATGCCAGCAGAAGAAATGTTGACATTTGCTTCTCAAGTGGTTAGTAGACTTATAAACTTTGTTTTGGTTTATTACATGTAGTAAATGCAAGAAAATCTAACTTGTGCTTTGTGGATTGATTGCAGGCAGGTATTGGGTGCAGGGCATTGGGAGCAAGAGCTGGTCTTCCCCATCTAACAGACCCTCGCTTGAGACCCTTTTTAGTGAACGATCCCCAAAATGTGGCCACATTACTGTAGCAGACAACAGAAATAAAAGTTATCAACTTGGGGAGTTTCTTTTCCTGTTGTTTTCTTTTTCTAGACATACATTCAGCTGCATTTGTGACATCTTGTGTGAAAGATTTGACCATTGAGCTTAAGACCTTCAAACTTTGTAGCAAGAACTTGAATTCTAATATGGAAAGTTTGTATCAGGAGCATTCCATCTTTATACTTTTGTGAAGCAGAAATAGTTTTTGATACAGCCATTACTGTAGGGTCTTTATGTTGACACTTTATTGGATTGCTGTGTTTCCTAAGGCCGGCTGTAATGATGTGACATGGAGATCCTTATAGGGGGAGAAATTAAAAAATAGTCAGATTTACAACTGGTCGTTCAAAAATAGCCCAGTTTCAAAAGTAATCGAAATTTAGTCAATTTTCATGTAAAGATAAATCTGAGCGAAAACACTGTTCAAAACCCGGAAAAAAACGCCAGTATATTATGCTGGAGTTCCAGCATAAGTATACTTGAACTTCAGCATATTATACTGGAGTTACAAGATAAGTATGCTGGAACTCCAGCATAGTATGATGGAGCTCCAGCATAAGTACACTAGAACTCCAGCATAGTATACTAGAGTTCCAGCAAGTATACTGGTAATATACTGGAGTTTGGAGCACTGGTGCTCCAGTCTCCAGTATATTACACTGGAGCCAGCAAAGTATACCAGTCCAGCATAATATGCTGGAGTTAACTCCAGTATATTATGCTGGACCGGTCTCTGCTGCAGCAAAATAGTGGCTATTTTTCATTGACTTGGTAAACACTGGCTCTTTTTGAATGACCAGTCCGAAAACTGGCTATACCGTGCTATTTTGACCCTTATAGGTGGGCGTATAAAGAGTTTAACTTGTATATTGTCACGACCCTAGTTCACCAACCGTGAACATGTCATGACGGCACCTGGTCCCCATGACCAGGTAGGCCTAACATTTGCGAAAATATATTAATTGCGGAAAAATAGAGAAAATCAAATCAAATATCTAAAAGAAACTGTACTGAATGCCGCTTGGCAAGTACAACTCAATATCACAAGTCTAAAACAATTCCCAAAACCCGGAAACTCACTGGCAACACAGGCTACAGAAGTGTATAGTAAAGGTTCCAAACTCCAGAATTTCTAACAACCGAAAGAAGGAAAAACTAAGTACTAAAGATAGAATAAGAGGGAGACTCGTCGGTCTGCGGACGCAGCAGATCTACCTCGAAGTCTCCGTAGTCCTCCTGCCTCACTGATAAGGCGCCTGAGTAGAGGTACCTGGATGATCTGCACATGAAAAAAACACATGCGCAGGAAGGGCATGAGTACACCACAGCGGTACTCAGTAAGTGCCAAGCCTAACCTCGGTTGGGTAGTGACGAGGAAGGTCAGGGCCATACTGAGACAAAACATAGTAATAACAATAATTAACAGTATGATAATCTGACAGAAATAATAAATACAGCAGTGAAATAAGACAGATTAAACAAGACAATAGCAAAATACACAAGAACGGAAACAACCACAGAATAAGTACAGCTCAACACCATGGTAACAATGAGGATCTCCCAGGATACCGTCCTGTAGTCCTTTTCTCAACCGTCCAGTGGATCTCCCGGGATACCGCCCCGTAGTCCATCATATGTGAATACCCGAAGGATCTCCCGGGATACCGTCCCGTAGTCCAACTGTCAATGTGCAGGGGGATCTATCGGGAATCTAACCCGCAGTCCCAAAGTAAAAGTGCAGGGTGATCTACCGGGAATCGAACCTGTAGTCCCAAAGTAAACAAACAAGGGGGGAGCTACCGGAATCCCACATCCGTAGTCCCAATGTAAATGCGCAATCACAACCAGAAGGTACACGGGAACGAAGTACAAAAGACAAGCAACAGATAGTACTGACCTAGCATGCTTCACGTAGTACAGTTAAGGCAACTTAAGCAATTAGGCAAGTTAAATCAACTAAACATGCTTTCCTAATCTAGCACAAGTTATAATTTCAAGTAGAATAAAGCAAATATGGAAGGAACTCAATCTCAATATCTTAAGAAAAATCGGGTTTTCCAACAATTGGCTCAAGTACACGCCCGTCACCTCGCGTACAAGGCACTCAAATCAACAAATAACAAATCCTAAGGGGAAAGGTCCCCCACACAAGGTTAGACAAGCCACTTACCTCGAACCGGCTCAATATCAATAGAAACCACGCCTTTGCCACGAGTATCCGACTCCAAATGGCCCAAATCTATTCAATTCAATTACATATCGTAAATAATATTGCAAACAACTGATTCCACTATTAAATTTAGAGCTAGGGCGCGAAAATAGGTAAAATCACCAAAATGCCCCTCCAGCCATCGTCTCGGAATCGAATAATTTTTACGTTTTCAGAACCCTCGTACTCTCACGAGTCTAACCATATAAAAATCTCCCAAATCGGAGGTCAAATGACCCCTCAAAACCCCATAGATAGGTCTAAGAAGTTTACCCACTTCCCATTCAAAAACACGAAATTAAAGGGTGAATTTGCGATTAGATTAATGGGTTTTAGTCATAGGAGAGTAGAGAATCGTTACCCGGTGATTGCCCTTGAAAAACCCTTGAAATTGCTCCCAAATCCGAGCTCCAAACCTTGAGTTTTGATAAAAATGGCAAAACCTCGTTTTTGAAATGTTAAGTACTGTTCAGGAGTCTAAAGCATCGCGATCGCGATAGGAAGCACGCGTCCGCGAAGAAGGAAAATATCAGGGCCCAAAAATGCCCTTCGCGATCGCGGAGGGAGGAGCGCGAACGCGAAGGCCAGGGGATCAAGAACTACGCGAACGCGACAAGGCTTACGCGAACGCGATGGAGGAAATAGTGAAGCTACGCGGACGCGGGTGATCTTATGCGAACGCGAAGAGGAACGGGACCCCCTCTCCAGACTTACACTACGCGAATAGAGTGGCCGCGAACGCGATGAGAGGATAGGCTACTACTACGCGAACGCGGTGCCTTCTTCGCGAACGCGAAGAAGGAATTCAGACCTGCAACTTCTGCAACATTTCCAAACTTCAAATTGCTCGGATGAGCATCCGAAACACACCCGAGGCTCCCGGGACCTCAACCAAACCTACGGACATATCCCATAACATCATTCAAACTTGTACCAATCCTTAAACCACCTAAAACAACGCCGGAAACACGAATTAATCAAAGATTCAAGCCTAAGAACTTCAAATTCCAACGAAACACACTTTCGATCAAAAACCTAACCACACCTCGTCCGATTGACCTGAAATTTTGCACGCACGTCCCAAATGACATGAAGGTGCTATAGAAACTTCCGAAATTCCATTCCGACCCTCGGCTCAAAAATTCACTATCGGACCGGAAATTTAAAAAATTCAAACTTCGGCATTTCAAGCCTAAATGAGCTACGAGCTTCCAAAATGCATTCCGAACACGCTTCCAACCCCGAAATCACCTAATGAAGCTAACGGAACCATCGGATTTCCATTCCGAGGTCGTCTTCACACTGTTCCGATTACGGACCATCTTTCAACACTTAAGCTCTCATTTAGAGACTAAGTGTCCCAAAACACTCTGAACCCTAACACCGAACGTCCCGGCATACCAAAATAGCAGAAATGAACTTAGGGGAAGCGGTAAATGGGGGATCGGGGCATAAATTCCAAAAATGACCGGCCGGGTCGTTACATCTATTTTGTAAAAATAGCACGGTCTAGCCAATTTTCGGATTGGACATTCAAAAATAGCCAGCGTTTACCAAGTCAATGAAAAATAGCCACTATTTTGACAGAGACTGGTCCAGCATAATATACTGGAGTTCGGTGCACCTGTATATGAACTTCCAGCATATTATGCTGGAACTCCAACACACAGAAAGCTCCAGCATAATATACTGGAGATTCCAGCACTTGTTTATGAACTTCCAACATATTATACTGGACCGGTATACTTTGCCGGAACTCCAGTATATTATGCTGGAGTTCTAGTGTACTTATGCTGGAACTCCAGCATAATATACTGGCGTATTTTTCGGGTTTTGAACAGTGTTTTCGCTCAGATTTATCTTTACATGAAAATTGGCTACATTTCGATTACTTTTGAAACTGGGCTATTTTTTAACGACCACTTGTAAATCTGGCTATTTTTGAATTTCCCCTGTATATGCTAGCAGTGTATCATTTTTTTATACATTATGTAGTTATGCTGAGATACAATATATAGGTAACCCTTTATAGTAAGCCTAAATTTGGTTTTGTAGATAGTAAACTAACTATATAACCTACTATTATAGGTTAAAATGCACTGATATGGTAAATAATATTTAAATCCAGAATATGTGGAAAGCATCCTCCAAAGTTCAATCAAAACAAACAAAAATATGGGGAAATAAAAGAAGAGAAATAGGCAGATTTACAACTGGTAATTGAAAGATAGGCACAATTTCAAAAGTAATCGAAATTAGCCACTTTTTCATGTCTGAACAAAAACACCCTTAAAAGTCCGAAAGAAACTCCAACATAATATGCTGGATTTCGAATTTTATACAGAGATTCCAGCATAAGTGCTGCAATTTCATAATGTACTGGAGTTTCAACATAATATGTTGGAAGTTTGTAGCAGGAGCTCCGTAATCCAGCATATTATGCTGGAACTTTCCATGTGCTGGAAGTTTATACACAGGAGCTCCATAATCCAACTTATTATGCTGGAATTTTCCATGTTTCAACAAAATATTAGCTATTTTTCAATGACTTTGCAAATACTGGCTATTTTTTAATTACTCGTCTATAAACTGGCTAGCCCATGTGTGACGACCCAAAGGGTCATCACTTGTTTCCTTACTCATTCTGTGCTTCTGAGGCCTTGAAAATATCATTTGGGGTTGCCTCGATTTGCGTGCGCAGTCCGGGCGCGTAGCCGAAAAGCTTAAATATGAATTCTGTGAGAAAAATGCTAAATTTTGATATTAAATTGAATAAATTTGACTTCGGTCAACATTTTGGGTAAACGGACCCGAACCCGTGATTTGATAGTTCCGGAGGGTCCGTAGGAAAATATGGGACTTGGGCGTATGCCCGGAATCGAATTCCGAGGTCCCAGGCCCGAGAAATGAATTTTTGTGTGAAATTATTTTCTGGAAATAATTAAGGAAATTGGAAATGAAATTTGATTAA